TAAGGGTTTCAGATTTGAAGACTGTCGGAATTTAAGGTTCCAATGGTTTAAGAATTAAGGTTTTAAGATTCAAAGATTTAAAGTTTTTGAAGGTTATAACAGCCAGGCCATTGCCCAGCCATTTTCCATCTATTATCAGATTTCGAAGGCTTTAAGATTTTATTTTCCGGAGATTTTCAGATTTGGCGACTTTCGGAATTTAAGATTTTAAGATCTCAAGATTTCAAGGCTTCAAAGTTTCAAGATTAAGAGTTTAAGGAATTTAAAATTAAGCCCGGATGGAAGGAATTTTATTATATTTTACTTGTTTATGAAGTTAAGATTTTCAGATTGCTATAGTTCGAGATTTAAAGAATTTAAGTTTTGAAAGCTTTTCAGATTCTGAGATTTTAAGACTTTGAGAATTTAGGAAGTTCATATTTTTAGATTTTAACATCTGAAGATTCAAAGATATTCGGGTTTTAAGAAGTCAAGATTCGAAGACTTTAGGATGTTTATATTTTCAGATTGTAAGATTTTTTTTGTAAGGTTGTAAGTTTAAGATCTTGAGGTTTCAGAGTTTAAGACTGTATTCAAAATTTCAAGAGTAAGAGTTAAAGACTGTAGGAATTTCATATTTTAAGAGTTTAAGATCGCAAGATTCTAAGACATAAGGGTTTTAAGATTTCAAGATTCGAAGACTTTAGGATGTTTTTATATTTTCAGATTTTAAGATTCTAAGTTCGAAGATTTTAAGATCTCGAGATTCTAAGATTGATTGTTAGATTTTAATTTAAGATTTTAAGAATCTAAGACTTTAGGATTTTGAGATTTCAATCCAGGCCATTTTCCATCCATTTTTCATCACTTTAAGATTTTAAGATTTTCAGGTTGCACGTTTTCGGCAAAGCTGGCCCGACTTGGCCCGACTTAGGGGACAACATCCCCAGCATCCCCCGAGACTTTAGGATGTTTTTATATTTTCAGATTTTAAGATTCTAACGTTCGAATTTTTTACGATCTCGAGATTCTAAGATTGATTGTTAGATTTTTAGTTTAAGATTTTAAGAATCTAAGACTTTAGGATTTTGAGATTTCAATCCAGGCCATTTTTCCATCCATTTTCCATCCACTTTAAGATTTTAAGATTTTGCAGGTTGCACGTTTTCGGCAAAGTTGGCCCGACTTAGGGGACAACATCCCCAGCATCCCCCGAGACTTTAGGATGTTTTTATATTTTCAGATTTTAAGCTTTAGGATTTTGAGATTTCAATCCAGGCCATTTTCCATCCATTTTCCATCCACTTTAAGATTTTAAGATTTTCAGGTTGCACGTTTTCGGCAAAGTTGGCCCGACTTAGGGGACAACATCCCCAGCATCCCCCGCATCACCGGCATCATCCGCATCAATGTCCGCCAAGGATGCGGATGATGCAGGTGATGCCGGGGATGTTGTCCACTATGGGCACCCCCCAAAAAACACTCGTTTTTTGACTCCGCGGGGAGATGCTCAAAAAGCCGCCAAAAATCGCCTGAACAAATCCGGAAATCCTTCGCCCCTTATAAGGGCGGGCCCAGCTTGGCGCAGGGCAAAAGTATAGCG